TGCTGATACCATAAAGTCTGTACAGGGGGCATGGTGGGTAAGGCAGCTGGATCCTACATGGCAGACAATGCAGTTCAAGTCCCAGGCCCAATGGCTTGAGATACATGCCAGGTGCATGTACATGCCCAAAATCCCAAGAAGAGGATGGAGGATGAGGGATTACAGCATGGCCATCCCCCCAGGACATGCTTTTTCATGTTTCCTCTCTCTCTCTCTCTCTCCAGTGAACACATATACCATATAACAAAAATTTAAGAAAAAGTAGTCATGATGGGACCAGCAGATGGCATAATGGTTACGTTGCTGGACTCTCACATAGCCAGCCATGGTTCGAGTCCCAGACCCAGCAGCTTAAAACTCATGCTGAGCATGTGTGACCAAAATCCCAAGAAGAGAATAGAGGAGAAGGGATTGTGGCATGGCCGTTCCCCCAGGGAGGTGATTTCTCGCTGTCTCTTTAGCAAGTACATGCACCCTATAGCAAAAAGTCCTTCTCTCAGAAAAAAGTCATGGGGCCAGTAGGTTGCATGATGGTTAAGGCACTGGACTTCCACATGGCTGACCACAGTTCAAGTCCCTGATCTGGTAGCTTGATTTCTCACTTTTTCTTTGTCTCTGTCTCTCTCTGGTCAAATTAAAAAATAATAATAAAATTTATAATACAAAACAAAACAGTCATTACAGTTGAAAACTGCCTCAGGACAAAGTGCATGTTTTATGAGCTCTCCCATGCTTTGATCTTCATGGGCCTCCTCCCCTGCCCCCAGAGCAGAATCGATCACTCTTTACTCTGGAACTTCTTGTGCAGACTCCTGAGGTGGCATTTTTCACAGCTAATGGAGACCTGCGGGAGCCTTGGCTCTCCTCCCCCCTCCCAGGGGATGCAGTACCCCATTCCCATTGCTCTTCACACTTTGTCACTGCCTGGGCCTTAGCACGCATTCATGAGGTTTGTGTGGCTGAATCAGTGGGTGGGAAAAGACACCCATGTGCTAGATGGTGGCTCTGGGTGGTCCCTGGGCCTCCAGAACCTTGGGGGTGCCTTTCCACATTCCCTCTGCTTCTGCTCGTATCCTGCCACGGAGTCATGACCCCAATAACCTACAAGGACCACAGTCTGCTTTGCCCACTGCTCGCTGGTTGCTAAAAACCTGCCCCATCTCCTCTCTGAGGACTGCGTTCCTGCTGGTTTCGTGCCAGTTCATTTGGCTAGAACCATCTTCATAGACATCAGATGAATTAGCTAACATCAAATAAAGGAGCTGAAGATGAGTCGCGTTCATACATTCAAAACCCAGGTTTCGTGCATGGCGCTTTGACGCTTGCCTCTGCTCGTCCCTAACGGCCCTTTCCCTTTGGTGTGTTTACGGTCATGGACGTGTGAGCTGTGAGATTGGCTCCCAGATGATCTGGAGTACACCTGGGTGGGGAGGGCTGGGCGCGAGCAGAGCTTTACCTGAAAGGACTGAGATGTATTGGTGGCTTCTCCCGAGAGTCCTGGCAATCAGGAGAGGCTGGTGCCGGGCCCAGCTGCAGGATTCACTGGTTCCCTGGGACTTCTGTACTTGGGACTGTCTGGGTGGGCAGGGCTTCCTTTGGGCAGATCCTGGGCACACAAACTCGCCTGCAGGGAAGGTGCCTGGCCCCTCAGCACCTCTTCCTGCCAGCAAAGCCCCTGAGGACCCTCATCACCCTCCTCCCATCTCCTGCGGGTCTGGATAGCGACCAATCTCGACCTGGTGCCCCCAGGTGGGCAGTGCCCCATGCACTGTCTAAAGCCTTTTCTGCTCCCCACAGCTAGCATGCCCACCAGCGAGACCGAGTCTGTGAACACGGAGAACGTGAGCGGAGAGGGCGAGGCCCAGGGCTGCTGTGGGAGTCTCTGGTGAGTGTGGGGCCACCTGTCCACCTTTCCCCTCTTTGAGAAGCAGACACAAGGAAGATGCCCCCTGAGGCTGATGGAGCCCAAGGACCACAGCTGGGGTGCAGCTGGGGTGGGTGGGCTCCCCTGCCCTGGGGCACCGTACCCTCATGCCAGTCCCTCGGAGCACCTGGCGTTTCCCATGCCTCTTCCTATGAAGCCGTCCCATGGAGCGGAGCCTGCGGGGAGCGTCCTAGTTAACTGGCCACCACTGTGTTCATTAGGTGCTGGTGGAAAAGAAGAGGCGCAGCCAAGGCAGGGCCCTCGGGGTGTCGGCGGTGGGGGTAAAGGCCTCTTCTCCTTCGAGTCTGGTTTGGCATCTGTGCTTTTGGAGATAAGCTTGACGGCAGAGTGGCTGACTAGAACGTGCTACGCCTTTCACTTTTCCTTTGCTCACGGGACCCCGGCCTTGTAGCTAGTGGCCCTGATGAGGCCCTGCTGTCCTCAGCTCACAACACGTTTCCCTGGGAGCCCTGCACCACCCTCGCCTACCAGCGTGGGGCACCATCCCATTAACACCCTCTGGCTTTTTCCTAGACGACTTGGGCTGGGGGAGCGGGGACCAGCCCTGCGGGATGTGCCCAGCCCACCACCGCTGCCGCTTCGGGAGAGCCCTGTGCTGTCTTACTTGTTTTGCTTCCGGCTGGTGTCCTTTAGGTCTTACCTCAGTAAAGCACAGGTGTCATTTTTAAGAGCACTCAGTCTTTCTCTTGGCAGAGTTGCTTAAAAATGATGTGTTAGGGCAGAATTCGCAGCCGTTTGTGATGCGGTTCTGCCTCTGTTCTCTCGCTCCACTCTCCCGGCGACCTCATGAAGTAGGGGAAGGTGGGTTTCCTTCCCCCCATTACAGATGTGGACACTGGCCCCAGCAGGATTGTGCTTGCCCATGTCACCCTGTGAAGGGCAGAGCAGGGCTCCTGCCAGTGCTCCTTCCGTGGTAGCAGCAGTGTTTGCTGAGACCCGTGGCTGCGAACACGGGAGAGGCCTTGCTGACCTCATCCTGGGTGGCAGAGAACCCCTGGCATCACTGCCTGTCTCCAAGCCCTAGATTCCCTCAGAGAATCTAGTTAAGAGTCTTCTCTCACCTGGGCCTTCAAGGGTGCTCTGCCGGCCCGCCTGGCACCGACACCTTGACTTCCGCTTGCCCCTTAACCCAGCCGGCCTGCTGCGGTAACCAGGGGCTGCTAAATCCTGGCCCCTGTGCATGGCTTTTTTGACACTGCAGCCCAAGTGGTGGATGGGGGTGGGGGAGTGTGCTTGAACCTTCTCGACTGGGGTCTGAACAGTTTTTGTTTTGTTTTATTTTGCAGTCAAGCCATCTCAAAATCCAAACTCAGGTCAGTCTCTTCTTCCTACTTTTTCTTTAGGTGTTGGATTTCTGTGCTGTGACATCTGAGTTTTACATAGAATTGCTCTAGACTTGAGTGTCACTTAGTTTGAGTCAGTTCATTAAACAGCAGGCACCTGTGTGAGGGGGGCAACAGAGGAAATGTTGAAGAGCTCCCCACAAACAAACAGCAAGACACGTTACAAACGATTTTCCCTCCCAGACAATCCTTCATATTCTCTCTCAGTGTCATTTTTCTCAGTGAAGAACTTCTAGTCACTTTTCTGCTAAAAATCTTTTCATAAAGGGGAGGGGGGGTTCCAAGAAGGTATCTTAGGTACTAGTTATATTCTGTGTCTTTTTATTTTAATTATGATTTCTGGTTTACATATAATCCATATCTATCTTTGCGGGTTACAGTATGACTTTTGAAGGCATGTATTCAGTGTCCAATAATCAAATCTAAAGAATGTGCCATATTTGGGACCAGCAGATAACGTAGCAGTTACGTCACTGGACTCCCACATGGCTGGCTGTGATTTGAGTCTCGGACCTGGTGGCTTGAAAATCATGCCAGTGCATGAACGTGTGTGCCCATGATGCTGGAAGGAGAATGAAGGGAAGAGGATTGGGGTGTGGCCATCTACCGGGAGGGTTGATTTCTCACTTTCCCTCTCACTCTGTCTCTTTCTCTCTCTTTCTCTCTTTCTCTCTGGCACACACGTACTCCCCAAGGCTAAAACCTCTATAAAACAAAACAAAATAAATACCATATTCATCTTCTTCAACATTATATTGTGCACATTTGCTAATAGTTCTAATAGTTCATTTTTCCTCTTTTTTTTTTTTTTGGCCATAGGGAACGTGCACTCACCAAAGAGAGAGAGAGAGACAGTGAGAAAGAAAGTGGGAAAAAAAAAAAACACCCCTCACTTATGGAGGATGGCCACACTGCAATCCCTTCTCCTCCTGGGATTTTGGGCATACATGCACACACATCTGGCATGAGTTTCAAGCCACCACCGCCAGTTCCCAGACTCGAATTGCAGTTGGCCTTGGAGTCCAGTCCTGCACTGTAACCACTATGCCACTTGCTGGCCCCCGGTTCATTTTTCTTGAAATACATGTGATATTTTCCATATTTTTCACTCTGCTGTGATAGACCATCCTGTAGTCTCTCCCCTTCAAAGTCTGTTTCCAGATCTAGAAGCAGGGTCCACGTTTCTGTTGGAAACACACAAAACACACAGCAAGAAATGACAAAGTGCCCTTGCCTAAACCAGGACTTGGGGGAGAGTTGGCTCTGCCCTTCCTCTGCTCACTTCCTGGGTTCATTTCTTAGCATAGCAAGGTGGTTGAGTCAGCCGGGACTGCAGTGTGAGCACAGCCTGGAGATTGTTCTTGACTTGGGCCCCTCGAGGAAGTACCTCTAGCCCTGCCAGGGCAGCAGCACAGCCCGGAGAGGACCGTACTCGCCACTTGACCAGTTCTTCCCTGGGAATCCAGGTCGCTGAGCAGCAGCACCTGGCTCACTTGGCCAAACTGGCCCCTTGTGGCAGGAAATGTTTCCTGCAGAGAGGTGGGCTCAGGGAGAGAGACTGCCCTGATTACAAACAGGAACAGGGTGGGCGGAGGACATGCTACTTGTCTGTTTGGCTCAACTCATTTTAGTTTTATGAAAACACGGTTCAATATTGGCTCTCCTCCTCAAGGTATATTTTGAGCATCACTAGTTAGAAAGGGCACTGGATGAGTCAGTAGGGAGACTCGGGGCCTGCTCAGCTTTGACAGCTCTGCCAGGCTCCGGAAGAACTGTGGCGATTTTAAAAAGGATCGGAAGGTTCTCTACAAACAGAGCTGTGGCTTTAGAGCATTTTGCTTGCCTGACCCATTCTGGGCGAAAGTGGCGATGCCACGGAGACAGGGATAATAAGCTAAGTGGCTCTCTGCACAGATCTCTCCAGCAGACCCATGTGCCATATGGTGGGCACATGAACCACATATGTGTGTGCGCTTCTGCACGTGAGGCTATGAATAGCTAGATTTTCTAACCCACTTGAGGGCCGCATGTGACAGATTCCAGTTATCTAAAGCCACGAGGAAGGAAGCCGAGAGCACAATCAAGTCAAGATTATACTTTTATAAATTGTATTTTAAGACCATCATCATGTATGTCACGAAGTCTGTTCATTGCTATGCCATTTGTTCTTGTCTTTTCTCCCTGAACCCCCCCCCCCACCGCACCCGGGGCCCCCAGAGTGAAAGCTAAGTTATCTCTCAATAGGAGCTGTCTCTGTCACCCAGGGAGTCATGTTTGCTTGTCTTTCAGCCGGCGCTGGCGTCGCTGGAACCGATTCAGCCGGAGAAGATGTAGGGCTGCCGTGAAGTCGGTCACGTTTTACTGGCTGGTCATCGTCCTGGTGTTTCTCAACACCTTGACCATTTCCTCTGAGCACTACAATCAGCCGGACTGGTTGACGCAGATTCAAGGTACAAGCCGAAGGCGTTGCTTTTTGTTCTGAATTAGGGACTCCTGGCTGTCCAGCTGCTGCATGGTCCTGTCTGGTCAGTGTGTCATAAAGTACCAGGACATTCCTAGGAGGACCGACTTGGAAGATGGTAGAGCCATCCACACACAGAGGCACACCCTAGAGCGAGGGTCCAGTCTGTGCCATGTGGCACGGCACCTCGGGGCTGATGGATGCTGAGCATCTCATGGCATACCCTAACCTGGCCACACCTAGACACCAGGAACCTTAGATTTAGAAGGAGCCTCACAGCCCATTGTCCTTGCCTGTCCCTGGAAGCTTTATTCCCCCCTAGAGTATTTTTGGCAAGTGGTTTTGCTTCCCCTGCTGTGGATGCTTCAGGGTACGGGAGCTCGTCCCAGAGACGGCCTGTTCTACTTGGACGATGTTGAGGTAAGGCAGTGTCCTTCCTCACATCCGGTCCAAGCTGTTCCTTTCTACCACTTGGGCCTGCTTTGTGGTACTTCCTGCTGTTAGAAATGACATCGGGGTCAGCTGGTGGCATGGTGGTTAAGGTGGCTGGATCCCACAAGGCCAAGTGAGCAGTCTGAATTCCAGAACTAGGGGCTTGAAAAGCACAGTGGGCATATGTGTGTGTATGTGTGCCCCAAATCCCAAGGGGAGTGAGAAATGGAGGAGAAGGGGTTGCAGCAAGGCCATGCTTTCTCTCTCCCTCTCCCTCTCTCTCTCCCTCTCTCTCTGCTTCTCCCTCTCCCTCTCTCCCTCCATCTTAAAAATGCATATACAGGGCTGGCCCCACAGCCTAGTAGTAAAGGGAGTTGGATCCCACATGGCCGACTACAGTTTAGATTTCAGCCCTGGCAACTTGAAACACATACCAGACATCTATATGTATGTGCCCCCAAATCCTGACAGACTAGATAAATGGAGAAGAAGGGCTTGTGGTGTGACCATGTCCCCTTGAGGGGTGCTCTCTCTGTCCCTCTCTCCTTCTCCCTCCCTCTCTCCCTCCATCCCTCTAGTGAGCACATGCACCCTCTAGCAAATTTTTTAAAAAAACGAAGAAGAAATGGCATTGATAGGTGACTGCCTCTGCTGACATGATGCCATAAGCAAAACCAGGCAGGTCTTTTTATGTGACTGCAAGAAATAAATAAATGCTGGTCTAAATGCAGAATCATAGGCTTTGAGGGCCAGGAAGTCTCAGAGATGAGGTGGTACGGTACCTGTTCCCGTGTTTGTAGTCCGTGAAACTAAGGCCCGGAGAAATCGGGTAACGTCTCTAAGGTCACACGTGTAGGCAGTCGCAGGAGCAGGACTGGAACCCGGCAGACGGACCGCAAATGTTCATGCCCCACTCTGTCATGGGTGGAGTGGCGATGAGGAGGACAGGTCTGGTGTGTTTCCTGCAGGGGACTGTGAGGGGTAGGCATGAGGAGAAACGAGGAGTCTGAGTGGCTCCCAGGTGGAGACCCCAAGGATGGGCGCCCCTTTGTCTTTCCAGATATCGCCAACAAGGTCCTTTTAGCTCTGTTCACCTGTGAGATGCTGGTAAAGATGTATAGCCTGGGTCTCCAGGCATATTTCGTCTCCCTGTTCAACCGGTTTGACTGCTTCGTGGTGTGCGGCGGGATCACGGAGACCATCTTGGTGGAACTGGAAATCATGTCTCCCTTGGGCATCTCCGTGTTCCGGTGTGTGCGTCTCTTGCGGATCTTCAAGGTGACCAGGTAGGGGAACCCGCGTCTCCCTGCAGGTGTGTTAGCAGGCGAGGTGGCAGTGGGCCACGTGCCCAGGCAGGTGACACTCTGCTCACTCTCTCACCTTGACCTCAGGCACTGGACCTCCCTGAGCAACCTGGTGGCGTCTTTGTTGAACTCCATGAAGTCCATCGCTTCGCTGTTGCTCCTGCTGTTCCTCTTCATTATCATCTTCTCCTTGCTGGGGATGCAGCTGTTCGGCGGCAAGTTCAACTTTGACGAAACGCAAACCAAGCGCAGCACCTTTGACAATTTCCCGCAAGCACTTCTGACGGTGTTCCAGGTGAGTCTGCCCCTTCCTCTCCCTGAGAAGCACCCAGTGGGCAGTCCCTCCTCAAGATGAGAGGATTCCGTTTTTACTAATCATCTCTGCCCTAACGACTCCTGGGAGATTTTGTGCCACTGAAGTTACTTGTTTTGCTTCATCTCCCAACTACCTGTGTGACATAATGTAATGTCGTTTAAGACCGCTAGTGATATTATAATAGTAAACCAGAAAACATCTTGCTTTATTTTGTGAGATTTCTGTGATGTAGACTCTCAAATCCTCTTATTCTTTGCTAATTTTTTTTTAGTTTTTTTTGCCATAGGGTTCATTGCACTCACCAGAGAAAGACAGAGAGACAGAGACAAACAGAGAGAGAGAGAGAGAGAGAGGAGGTGAGAGATCATCCTCTCCCAACCTAGGGGAAATGGCCATGCTGCAATCCCTTCTCCATTCTCCTCTCAGGGCTCTGGGCATGCATGTGCACCCAGTGTGATTCTTGAGCTGCTGGGTCTGGGCCTCCAACCATAGTCAGCCATGAGGGAGTCCAGTGCCTTAGCCACGATGCCATTTTTCTAAATCACATACAAGTTTATAATCCTATTTATTATAGATTATGCAAAGAAACAAATTTTAAGGCTCTGTGCTTTGGTGTGTAGTTGAAACTGTCAGGACGGTAAGAGTCCTAGCAGCCTCTGCCCCTGCCCGCCTGCCCTCCCTTGGTATAATGAGGATGCTCACACCCTGAGGGTCCCTGTGCTGTTGGGCCTTGGTGGGCACCAGGCTGAGAAGGGAGTGATCTTGCAGAGGGACAGACGGTGCTGACGCTAAGCTGAGCTGTGCTGATGCCCCATTTGCTATGTTCTGAGCCAAACCCTGTCCTTGGACAAAGCCTGGTAGATAGTGGGAAAGACTCGCCTGCCCTTGATGCTTCTTATGTGCAAGGTCGGTGAGGGTCAGCCCTGCAGGAGAGGCGGGGCGGCATGGTGGGAAGCGCTGTGAACAGACAGGCCTCATGACGGCCCTTTGTGTGGCCGGCTTTACGTCCTTAGATGAATCACTTGTCCTTTTCTGATAAAACAGGGACTAGAGGGAGTGCTCACTGACTTCTTTCCCACTTGGGTATTTGAGGTGTATGGAATTACTATCAGTTTTATTTTTTGAGTCGTACTTACAGTTTGGCCACCGGCCAGTCATTCATTTTCTAATTCCTTTCAGAGAAACCTGTGTCTTTTTCTTTTTTTGTAATGCATGCATATGGAACAGAATCTAGATGTTATAAAAGGATATGAAATGACAAATAATTCTCTCACCCAGCCACTAATTTCCGCTTCTAGGAGGAACCATTAAACAGTTTCCTGTGTCTTTTTAGATAGATATTTGCTCACAGATATAAATCAATTAACCTACCCACCCACAGGTGAATTGACACGGGCAGTCGCTCACTCTGCGTCCTGTTCTGCATCTTTCCTTTATTACTTATCACTTGGTGTCCTCAAAAGTCCTCCTATGTGGTCCAGGAGAGACCACCGCCTCCTTTTAAATGCTGTATAAACCCAGTGGGTGGCTGTGCCAGGGCTCATGTAACGGGTCCCTTGCCGATGGCTGTTTAGGGGTGTCCGCTCTCAGTGCACATAACCAGGGCTTTAACGAGAGACCTTGCACACACATTATGGGGGACCCGGGTGTGAGCACATTCGTAGGATAAATTCCCAGAAGCAGAACTGCCAGTTTAAGGGTATGAATGTTGAAAACGTCAGGCCCCTGGCCACAGTGCTTTCCAGTGGCTGTCCTCACTCATTCTCCACCAGCATCACGGAGCCCGCCTTCACCTGCTGCCTTTCACCATGGCAGGTGTCCACACTCGCTCATGACGACCAGTCTGCTGAGTGAAAGTGGTATCTTGTTTTCTTAATGACTGTCTCTCATTAGGAATAAAGCAGATTGTCTTCTCATATGACCAAGAACCATGCGTAGTTCCTTTTCTGTGAATTACTTTATCTTTTCAAATCACTCGCCTGTTTTTCTGTTTGGTTATAGCCCACAACAGTTGAAAATGTAAAAATATCTAGTTCAGATAGAAGATAAAGAGCTCTCTCTCTCTCTGAAAGATAAAGTTTTTGTAATTACTGTCCGCATTCATCTGCTTCATGTTGGATTGAATTATCAAGTACTGTTGGTAGGGGAGACTAAATATGAAATTTCAGGGGATTAGTAGTATCTGCTCTTGAGATGGTTTGGAACTTATGGGAGACATTTAGCATTCTCTTATTCTACACATTAATAGATAGAATTCCCCATGTTCCACAGTTGAAGAATATGGAATATTATTTAGCAGTTAAAAGGATGAGATGAGCCTCCTGATACAGAGGGTCTTTCCAGAGTACACTGTCAAGTGGGAATAAAAAAAAAAAAAAAAGAAAAAAGCTAGTTGCAGAGGCCTTTATTAATAATCCATAGAGGATTATACCCTTTACGTATGAAAAGTCAGAGCACTCACCCACTGTTTCCTCTGGGTGTGTATATGTTCTAAATTCATAGATGAAGGTCTCAGAGAGACACACTAATAGCATTCCTCATAGGAGGAGTCTGGAAGTAGGCCAGGGTCAGATCTAAAGGTACTTAAGTCTTACATAAAGGCTTTTTCTTTATCTACTAGCAGAATCCACTCATCTCTTTGTTAATTAAAAGCAATGTTTTGGGCCAGCCCACAGCCTTGTGGTTAAGGCAGCGAGATCTCACACGACTGATTGAAGTTCGAGTCCTGGCCTCGGTGGCTTCAAAAGCATGCTTGGCACATGTGCACGCATGCTTCAAACCCCAGCAGGATGGAGAAATGGAGGAGTGGGATTGCAGCAGGACCACTTCATGTGGGACTGCTTTCTCCTTCTCTGTTTCCTGTTTCTCTTTCTCTCTCTAATGAGTGCATGTGCCCTGTGGCAAAACCAAAACCAAACAAACCATGGTGTTTTGGAAGTTCTGTGGGCCGGCAGTGGATTGCTCAGTGCAAGGGCGGCTCAGGCAGAGTGGGTAGCCACCATGGGCTCCCGAGAGCCGCTGTGACGCGCAGATCCTCCTGTGCTGACGCTGGTTCTGCCTCCCCAGATTCTGACCGGTGAAGACTGGAATGCTGTGATGTACGACGGCATCATGGCCTACGGGGGCCCGTCCTCTTCAGGAATGATCGTCTGCATCTACTTCATCATCCTCTTCATCTGTGGTAACTGTATCCTCCGAGCCGACCAGGGCTGTGTGGCCGGCGTCTCGGCTTCTTTCTCTGAGTTGCCCCGAGGGGATGGTGCTGGGGTAGCTCAGGTGGAAGGCCAGAGCCTTTTCCCATCAGCTCAGTTCCTGCTTCCCTGCAGTCTGGCTGGGGGACCGGGTCTGTGAGCAGAGTTCATGGGACTTTGAGGAGTGCAGGTGGCTGAATGAGACAAGCCAGAGGACAGAGACATGGGACAGCACCTGTGCAGGGGCCGATGGGCATTGACATAGAGTCAAGACTTGTGGGCAGATCCCAAGGGATGGCTTAGGGTGAAGCCAGGTGGTTCTCTGTGTCCTTGTCCTTGGGAAGTTAGGGGTGCATCTGTATTGTTGCCATCTTTTTTTCTTTTTTCTTTTTAATAGTTTATTTCTTCTGTGGGAGAGAGAGAGAGGCAGCACCCAGCAACACTGTCTTCCTGCAGCCTTAGTTAGCACAGGTCACAGGCATGCATGCACATGCCCATCGTGCTCTGGGAGGCTTCAGGACACAAATCCAGAGACCCCTGAGGGTCAGACAAGGCAGAGCAAGGAACATTGCCACTCGCCGGCTCCACCCGGGCCTTCTTAAGGCCCTCCATGACTGAAGGCGCCTGCACTCCCCCAGATCTACTTTCAGTTGCTCATCTGTCGATCACTGGGGACCAAGTGTCCTTCGGCTGGCTGCTCTGTCAAGCCATGTGACTTTTCTCCAATTCGTTTAACTCCCTTTCCCTGCCAAGAGACTCTTTCTACTCCTAGACTTCCGCAGTTGGCCCTCAGGTCTGGGTGCGCTTCCACCAGACCCTTGGCGATCCCGTAACATGGGTCGTGTCTGTTTCACCTCTAGGTCCTCCATGCCTCCCACAAGACCTGCCCTGTGGAGGCCTCCGTAAGCACTCAGGGGGTGAGCAATCACACAGACCCATGGACCCTGCCTCTCAGTCTTCACCCTTCCTTTCTGAAGAGTCCGATCTGGGCTCTTCTCCCAGCCAAGCCCAGGTCCTCCCTAGGATCTGGGGCTGCTTTTCCCTCAGTGCTCTCAGGCTCACTGATGGAGACTCCAAGAGGAAAATAGAGAAGCAGAGATTGTGGCCTGGCCATCCCCCCAGGGGGGTGATTTCTCACTTTGCCTTTCTCTGTATGTCTCTCTATTGAGTGTATGTGCCCTGGAGCAAAAACTGAAATAATAATAATAATAATAATAATAATAATAAAAGACAAGACACAAAGTACATGTTAATTATACCATGCTTATGTTACAGATTGTTTTATACAATGCATGTTAAATGTAGCTACAGACACATAGATATATGAAGACCCCTCCTCACCCCAGGAAATAATTGTTTTCTATAGGTTTTCATGGATTTTAGCAAATCTGATATTTACTTTTTTTCCAGACTGTCTTCTATAGGTTTCTTTCCTTTTTTTTTTTTTTTTTTTTTTAAAAATTGGGG